CTACATGAATCCTTTTTCTTTTCTACATTTGATCCATCACTATACCTACAAAAAGAACCAAGAAAATCAAATCCTTTGTAACCCCAACTAGACATGTTAATTTTGTTGTACCTCTCTCTCCTCCAACCTATTTTATAGGGATCATATCGCTTTTATGAATAAGAGCTCTGTTAGGCCCAAGCAAGACACATCCTGACTATCAAAGTAGTCATTCCTTTAATTCTCCCTCAATCATTGTCGCCAACATTTACAGATGCATATTCTCATTTCATATTTTATCTCCATGGCCATATATCCATCTCAACGTCACAGTTTTCCGCTATGTGTATCTTGTGAACATTTTGTCCTTGTTTAATAGTGCTTATAAGCAGTTGAACCTACAGAATGTGTTGATAATAAGTAGATAAAAATTATGGGACCTACTAAAAATGTGGACAAAAAGTATGTTTGATCAACTTGAATTATATTTTAAGCTCTAGAAAACATGCCGTTTTGATATCCCAACGCTTTGTACCCATAACTAGAGGTTTATTTAAGCACGTCTGGGCATTCTGTTGCAATGATTTAAAACCCGCACATTGATTCAAGCCATCGATTTAAAGCCAGCACACAGAGTAATATATGTGACAACAATACTGTACCTCGTCATATTTTATAAAGTTTTGAGTATCAAGTTCCCCGTTGACCTCTGGTTTATATGCTGCATCTATGTCATAAAGTTTGTCCCACTGTATATCTTTGAACCAAGGATGAGCCTGAACAAAATTTAATGGAACGTGAGGCATTAGATTGTTTCAATAACCGTAGTTATTACAATAAAGTAACAAAAAATATATACCTTTATTTCTTCTGCCCCATTAGAACCTAGTCTAATTTCAACATCACAAAGCAACCGACGAATCAGGTCCCTTGCTTCTGGAGATACCCTCACATCATTTGGAAATATTAAGTGATTTCTCCAGTGTACAATCTGGCAAACATCACACATTACATCATCCACATGAGATACTGCATCACATACTTCTTAGAGGTTTAACAGATAACAAATGAAAATTTATAAATGGGAAGTAAATAAGAAAAGAGAAATATATGTACCTATTGGACCCTCTATTTTTTGAGTTGGACAATTTAATGAAACCATGAAAAGTACAATGAAAATAAACAGTAAACTGGGAAAAATGTGTTGCTTAGGGAGTCCTAATCGTGTGTGCTCCACTCAAGTGATCAATATCACCCCTTAAATTGTTTGCCTATCCTTCTTTAGAAAGACTGCTTAGAGGTTAATCGTGTACCTCCAACTCACTATGAAGACATTTAGAAGTCACAAGTCAAATATATGGATTCAAAAAGTTCAAGATGGACTGCGCGCTATTATCAACAATAAGTAACTTTCAATGTGCACATTTGCTGATAAGGTACCAAAGGATGCAGTATATATATATGGGTTCCCAAAACCAATACAATAGCCAAGAAGTGAAATGTTAAATTAAAATGGTGACACTCATTATAAAAATTGCCCATTGTATATAGTCAACATTCATTGTAAGAGATGAATGCCGTATTTTCTTTATACTGTGGATGACAAAGGCCCTAACTGCCAATAAATATAAACTGGCATTAAAATTATTACTTGTATTGTAAATGGCTATGTAATTTTGTTTTAATTTAATGCCAAAATAGTTCATTTTCTTGCAATCTGTAAATTGTAAAATTGCGTAATATACACTGCTACATTTTTTGTTGCTCATCCTTTCATAATCTATCAACTGTTAGGTTTTAGTGTTAAATTTTGCCCTTTATGCTTATCAGCATAAAAATATTTTAAATCATTGGTTTTCACTAAGCATTTATCTTGGACATTTAAATGCCTTGTTGATACCTTCTTAGCTGGAAATTTCATTAAAAACTGAATTTAAAAGCTGCTGCATAGACATTTAGACCAACACAACTTAATTCGGCTTGAGAATTAAGAGAGGAAAGTGCCTTACTACAAAGTAGTTCTGGAAAATTCACTATATAAAAATGAACTCGCTTTCCAAATCTCGACAGAGAAAAGGTTAGAATTTTTTACGATGGAGGTTACTGCATCAAAAGGAGTTTGGAGATGAGCACCTTTCTGCATGTTGTTATTGGATTATCAGAGTAGAACGGAGCATAACCGACCAGCATCTCATACATAATAGCTCCAAGTGACCACCTGTATGCATATCATTCAAAAGACTATATCAAACCACAATATCATATTTCTTTATCATGCATTGAATAACAAATTAAGTTGATTTCTTGGAATCTAAGAATAAAAGAATTATAATAAACAAAAGGATATATATGAAATGATTGAGGTAGTGTCGTTTATTCTTGGAAAAGCAAAGTGAATATTAACTATGAAAAAACTAACCAATCACACTCCAGACCATAACCTTTCTTTAATAATACTTCTGGAGCAATGTAATCAGGCGTGCCAACAGTTGAAAATGCCTGTCATGAACAGAAAGAATCTGAAATGAATCCAGGTACCCATCAATAACAGTCGAAGGCTTAAAAATATGCTAAAGTCCAAACTTAGTGAAGATGTCCAGAAACTCGACATGCTAATACGAAACTTCATGACAAATTCCCAAGAATAGTGTTCCATAGCCATATTTTTATATCATGATGAAATTTTTGGCTTACCAATGTCCTCCTGTTCATTTGCCAATGCTGCATTTGTTCAAGGGGACTCTTCCAGCTGCTTCCATCTCCCTTATCAGGTAAGCATCCATTGGCATCAAGTAGTTCACTTTCATTCATTGGTTCCTTTGCGTTCATACAAGATAAATTTTCGAAGTTGAGAGGTTTGCAAAGGCCAAAATCAGAAAGCTTCATATGACCATTTTTGTCCAACAGAAGGTTGTCAGGTTTAATATCTCTGGAAAAAGCATTATCAAAATAACAGAAGATGAAATCCGCTGAAACTTTCTTCAACTGTTTGTTGATGTATCAAATTTTGTACAATACCGAGTTCTAACCTGTGGACGTAGTTATGCTTGTGAATAGACTCTATTGCCAGAACACTTTGAGCAATGTAAAATCTAGCGACAGTTTCAGTTAAGGTCTCCTCCCTAATTAGTAAAGTCATTATGTCACCACCAGGTAGGTATTCCATTACAAGATACAAGTATTCGGCATCTTGAAATGAATAATAAAGTTTCACAATAAAGTGACTAGCAACTTCGGCAAGCAGATTTCTTTCAGCTCTGACATGTTCAACCTGTACCGTCCATAGGCAATCAATTAAATAAGTACATTTTCTCCAACTAATAAATTATATTCCATTAATAATGAGTAAAATAACTGGCCTGGGATATCTTGTGTTCTTAAGAAAACGTATTGATGGAACATTATGCATGTGCACGCGATCTCACCTGTCCCCTGCTAACCATTTCTGACTTCTTTAACTTCTTCATTGCATATATTTTACCAGATATTTTCTCCCGACAAAGTCTAACCTGTGAAATGATTTCTTATGAGAACCAAGTAGTTCATCAGCATATAACATATCAGATGACTGATGTCAAAAACATGCATATTCCGCGTCGAGTCAAATAAAAAATTAAGCAAAATTCAACACAAAATTGTGCTCGAGAAGAATATAATAGCAGGAGATCTTTGAATAAGTTTCAAGAACAGCAAATTCATGTGGAACATATATATTTCAAAGGCTGATCTACCTCTCCAAAGGCTCCTCTCCCTATAATAGTTAAGAGATCAAAATCATCTACGGAAATCTTGTGCCTTTTAAGACGCATATACTCTGTCTCTTTACGCTGCAATTCAATCAAAAGGTTCATCTGCTCCTCCTCTGATACATCAGAATTAGCTATCATCTTCTCTAGAAGTTGACGCCTGCAATTTGAGTATAAAAATTATTACGAGTGTGTGCCTCAGGACATCAGATAAACCCATCTAATTCTTTTGTTGCCTTTCAATAAGTTAGCTTGACAAATACAATTATACAAGTAAGAAACACTGACAAGAAGAATCATTTACTATCTGTCAATTATAACCTATGCATAAAATCATAAACTTGTAATTCCTCTTAAGACCAAGTAAGTTAATGCACATTTAAGTTGTTCATGTCAATCTGCTTCATCCTTTTCCGTTTCTTCATTTCTCACATTCGTCATTGGCAGATTCACAATTCTATTCTTCAACAATTCCCCTGGGCATTCAGAATGAGAAGCCATAATTGATTGTTTAGCAGCAATACACTTTAATTATTTTTCAAAATGAGCATCACATAAAAGAACTAAATGCCCATAAATACTTAACCCTTCCAAATTGTACACCTGTGTGTTTCAGCATTATTTTGAAACTTAATTTTAAATAAATAACTACAAGCAAATTAGTTCGCCAGAAAAAGATAAAATATATAAATTATATATGACATTTAAATAATATAAACAGAAGAAAATATAACTAATTACAAATAAACCTTCAGTCTGTGTGAATCCTCAGACGCATCTCTTAATTTCTCGATCTCTAATTCACATAAAATTGCATGCATGTAAGTAATTACACACATCCATTCACCTATGACATTCACCTTATTCAAAAATAAATAAATAAATAATCATTTTCCATGATAATATTTCTTAATATAAAATGCATTGATGAAATGAATTCGTATATATTAATTACCTTTCTCTGCGTTCCTGCATGTCTTTCATATGGCTTTTATAATGATCCTCAATGAATTTCTTGGCCGCCGCGACTCGTTCGAGGGTCAAGCTGTCCATTTGCTCCTCCAATTCTTCTTCCTCTTCCTCCACCATCGCCGCCACCTTATCCTCTGGATCCATATATATATTCTATACAATCTTTCTGTGTATATATCTATATATCACATGTGCGTGCATATATGGCGATGTTTGTTTGGTTGGATTGTGCGCGAAAAATTTGGGGTGATCGAGACAGCGAAGCCGAGTCCGGGGCGAGGAGGGATCAAAATTTTGGAGAAATGTGTGCGTGCGTGCCAAGGGGGAAGGAAATAAAGAAGTCGAAAATAGAAAAAAGAATGAAAAAAAAAATAAAATCGGTGTAATGTATCCAACTTATCATTTGTAGCATTTATATTCCCAACCTTTTAATATTGTGTCATTTCATTAGTTTACTTGAAAGTTAAGGGTTCACTTGGCCGTGTTTAAGTTTTGAATTTCAAGTTTTGAATTTATTTTTAATTTTCTATTTTGAGGGTCAATTTTCATATTTTTAAAATTGTGTTTGATTTGACATTTTGAAAAATTATTTCTCATGTCAGAAAATTAGAAAATGCGTCTGGTTTAAAATTTTGAATAATTATTTTATAATATTTTATTCTAGAAAATTTGATTATTTAGTAAAAATAGAATAATTTATGTTAATATGTTATTAAGCAATATATGCATTTTAAAATTGATGAATCTTACAATATTTTTTTCTCGCTAGAAAAGTAAAAAATATATATAATAACAAAATGCTTTCAAAATAAGTAAATAAAAATAAAATTTAATAATGTGGACTAAGAATATTTTTTCTCTATTCATTTAGTTTTTTTGTAATTTTTATTTTTCTAATACATTTTTTGAATTTTATTTTTCGAAATTTTTATTTTTCAGAATTTTATTTTCTCAAAAATTTTATTTTTTATTTTTAAAATTTATCAAATTTTTTTTTTAATCTTATTTTTTAAAATTTTTTCGGTTAGAGTTTTATACTTTTATTCTTTAAGTTTTTTAATTTTTAAAATTTTATTTAAACACTTGTATTTTGTATTTTGAGCGTTTTCAAAATTTTCACTAAAAAGACTCAAAATGTGAAAATGCATTTTAAGTTTTATGTTATAAGTTTATCTTTACTTATGAAAATGCAATTTCAGAAATTTCAGATCAGTCACATTTTCCATATTTTGTAAAACTGAAAACAGTTGGAGAATAGCAAACAAAACGCATCCTAAATGATCGCCTAACACTCACGACTCTCATGAAGTTGGATTGGAGAATAAAATTGTTCTTAAAGGTTTTATTTAGGAAAAATTTTAGCAACGGTCCTTAACCTTTCAATTTTTTGCAGACTTTATCATAACCTTCACCTTGTGTCACTCACGATTTCAAATCTTTCAAAAATATGCACTTGAAGTCCAAATGGATGTAGATCTTTAGTTGACCAGAATAGTCAAAACTTAATCGATTTTGACCAAACTAAAAAAGGGCAAAATAGTATATTTACATTTTTCAAATTATTAACAATTAAAATAATAAAGAAACTTGCCCTACTCACCCCATGAAGCCACCTATTTTGAATTGCTCAAACCTAACCAACTGTCGTCCAAACCACTGGAGACCCATACCATCAGAAAGCTCTCGCTTCCCTCTTCACAATCCATCTAACCATCGACCATAACTCCAACGAATTTGGTCAAAAATTCAACTTAAAATAGGTTGTCCATGCACCAAAAAGGTCGGAATCCTTACCTTCGGCAACACCCATGCCAAGCCCACACTCCAAGTCAATTAAGCAACTCAATACACACCTTCTGATACCCATGTAACATCAAACAAAGTTGTAAATCCAAACTACAGTCAATTCTTCAAACAGCAAACTCGGACAGTTCAAACGTCAATTCCAGTGCCGACGGTGTAACCCACGATCATGGACCACTATCCTAGGTCAGCTCATCAAGGCGCATCTACTGGTACCATGGGTCATCATCAATTTTGCCTTAATGTGGACGAACTTGAATGGACCGTTGCTGTAATTTTCTGTTTTATTTATTTCAAAACAAAATATAATGTACTTCAACTTTTAGTTAAAAATATAGATATAATAAAATTGTTTAGCCCTTGCTTGAGCCCTCATTTTTTTAAATTATTTTTTCAAAATTAATTTCAACCACAAATTCTTCAATAAAATAATTTATGCGTAAATCATAAAATATTTCTCATTTTTAACTACACATTCTTCAAAAAATCACTATACAAAAATACTTTTTTTTTCCAAAATGGAGCTCAAACGAGAACTTGGTATTCAAGTAACGTCTTTCCTTACTTTATCATATCAATGACATGCATTATGTAAGTGTTACGTGATCATTTATTCCCTTTCTATTTTGGTTAAAAATCATAATTTGAATAAATTTTGATAATAGTTGATGAAAAAAACCTGGGTAATGTTTCTAACGTATCATTTGTTGCATTTACTTTCCCAACGTTTTAACATTGTATCATTTCATTAGTTTACTTGAACTTTAAATGGTCACTTGACATTTACGAACACGTGAATTTAGATTGAAGAATGAAATTTTAATGAAAACATTTCATTTATTTCAAAACAAAACACACTGTAAATTCAGTTTTCAATCAGAAATATAGATATGATAAAATTGTTTATGTTCAAGAAACATATTTCCTTAAACACATCAACAACATGCATTAGATGAGTGTTATACGATCATTTAGTTCCTATTTGTTTTGGTTAAAAATCAGATTTTTAGGAAATTTTAATAATAGTTGGTAGAACATGTGGTTAAAAAAATTTTAAAAAGTTGTGGATTCCATAAAATGTGTTATAAAAAATGAGTTTGAGAAAAAATAAATTTTAAAAAATTGGGCCAAGTATGTGTAAATATAGTTAGTTGGGGACATAGTTGCTGCAACTTTAAAATATTGTGGACATGAGTGCAACAATTGTTAGATTCGAGAGGAGAATGTCACACTTACAAAAGGTTAAGGACCCCTCATGGAAATAACCTTCAAATAAAATTGTATGGGCATACGTGGCAGAAATATGGGATAGCCCCCACATATAGTGGGACCCACATTCTTTGCAGGATTTTCCTGTGCAAGAGGATCTGCTCAAACGAAAGTCATGCTCTCTTTTCTTTTGGGGTTTTGTCATTCAAACGGGGTCAAATGATAAACTCGGGTACTTTTAAAATTGACATAGTCAAAGGTCCTTATTTTCACTTTGACTTTTAAAAACTTGAAAATTATCATATTAATCTCTTGAATGGTAAAAGACAGAGATGCCCTTAAATATATTATGTAATTACAAATTATTTGATAGTTTAAAAGACATTATTATCCTTTTAGTTAATAATTGAAAACCAAACACTTCCCCACTTATAAAATTACAGAACGAGTTTCGAACACGGAAAAATTCTCATTTTTCATCTGCTTGAACCTCAAAATATCAAAAAACATCAAACGTTGAAACCAGAATTTTTTTCAGATCAATTACTTCAAATCGATAAGTATATTTTTATACATGCTTAATTTTGACTTCAGCAAATTAGTGTACGTTTGAGTAGTTAAATAACACAATAGTTAGTAGAAAAAAATTTAACAGATATATAATTTTTTTCTTTAGAACTATAGAAAAATAAAAAATCATACGCAAAATAAACAGTGCGATGATTAACTGTGGGATGTTAACGAAAAATGTTAGACAGCGGACAGTCGACTATCAAAAGATTGTCTAATAGCTGACAGCTGACTGAATAGTCGGCTGTTTCTCACATTAACAGTCGACTGTCGGCTGTTTTTCCCAACTGTTTTATGAATTTTTTTATTATTAATTTATGTTTTGACAATTGTCTTATAATTTTAATTACAAGTTGATTAAATATCTGAATTTTTGTTGTTGTAATTGATTTAAAAATTCTATATCGTCATGCAGATATGATAATCCCTGTCTGTTATTTTGGTGATTTCTAATTGAATGAAAATAATAGATGAAAATGGAGATGGACGAGTGATGTATGTGGTTGTATTGCAATTCCCGTAACAGAGAGTATATCATATGCGGAAGTGTGTCAGGATTTGCAAAATAAGCTGAATATTGATTCTTCTCAATACGATATGCAATTGAGATATTTATTCAATGGTTATGGGGATTCGTCCATTCCGATGCCACCTATATTTGTTACTAATAATGCTGAATTGAATTATCTATTAGAATTGAATAAAATGCATAGGACTTCGACTGTTCTTGGCTTGACTTTAGTTAAGAAGGATGTTGTCGAAGGTGAACGCGGGTTGCCTTTTCGTTTGGGGAGTAAGGGCAACAAATGGAAAGTGTGAAAAAAAAGGTTCCCAGGGGTCGCACATGGGTTGTCAGATGAATTAGTTGCAACGGTCAAATAATTCATTAAACGGCAAAATTAATGGCCAACAAACAGGCCCAAAATAACAAAAATATTCGATGGGACAGAAGATGTAAATGGCCGACGCGCCCTTTGCCATCCCTACTTTCAATCATTCAAATTACGATAAAATTGTATATGACGTAGCCTTGTTCGTACAAATCAATGAATATCTACTTAGGTTCTATCGACACTGAAAAAATATTATCGAAATTTGTGTGATTTCTCATTCATTGGTCCATCCTCATACGACATAGCTACATTGCGTGTGCATGTCCCCAACGTGGAACTATAGAAGCAAGAATGGCATGAATTTTTCTTTTCTTTTCTTTTCATTTTTCTATTGATTAACTGGTGTAAGACATTGACGCAAAACTTTTTCCATTTTTGTATTCGAGTGGCCGACTAATTAAAAGAAATTAAATTAACTTCTAAATAAATAAAATTTTGAGATTAATTTCGCCTGAGAGGGAAATTGGTGGCGACAAAATATATTTTGTAGAAAAATAAGCATTTTTTAATTAGTGTGTGTGTGTGTGAGATTACGCTCTTCTTCTCAAATGAGACTCAAAATCAGGTTACTATGCTTTACTCATACCCTTGAGGGAAAAAGCCATTTGTACACGGGAGTGTACACTCCAGTGTACACGCCCCTCACATGGAAAGTGGTCCCACGCCCATTAAATGATTTCGGCCGATCTCTCATGTGAGGGGCGTGTACACCGGAGGTGTACGTGTAGCCGAACCCACCCTTGAGATAGGCCTTGGTTTCTGATTTAAGCAAACTTCTAGACTAGAAAATAAATAAAAACGAAGTTAATAAATATACATTTAGCCCTTTTTTTATAGGTAGT